TCAGGCCGCCCCATCAGAAAGCAGTTGGGGGTCACTGGATCAGGATCACTGATGTCAGACGGGACATAACCTAGTGGTTTGGAGTTCAAGATGCCCTCCACCTCCACAAGGACCGTGCGGAGGACCTCTTCCAGAAGGGGTTGGGATCCTACTGTAGTGTGGAGTGCCGTCTTGACAGACCTAATCTCCCGCTCCCACACTCCCCCGAAATGAGGAGCCGCTGGTGGATTGAAGTGGAAGACAATCTTATGGGGAGCCAGGAGCTTCTGCAGGTCAGAGGTCATGACTGCAAAAGCTGCTTGGAGTTCTCTGGCCCTGGATGACGCAGGCGACTGTCGACGTCCTGGATGAACAGGCGGGTGACTGGATGTGTTGGATCCCAAACTAAAGGATGGGAGCTGGTAAAGGCGAGATCTTCAGAGCGGCGAAGACGTCCACCTACACGGATGACCTCATTCTCGTGGTCGAACTCAGGGGATAGTGCAAGGAAACGACTGCTGCGACTGATAGATTTCCCCTGCTTAAGGAGTCGATACTCCTCAGGGAAGCTGTTGAGCTTCTCTCAGGACATCCATCTCTGCTCGAATATAGTCATAAGCCGATGAAGTGCCACCGCCTTTGGCTGCCCCATCCAACTGCGTAATAGCAGCTTCCAGCAGCTGTGTCCAGGTGTCATATTTGGTGAAGTTCGAGGTGGTGGGGTCAAAGGTGGTAGAAACTCCACGAAAGGTCTCTTTACGGAGCTCAGATGGGCCTGGAGGCTCAGCCAGGGTGCCACTTGGCTCTGGAGGCCACTGTTCTGGACCTAGGAGCAGGAAAGGAGGCCCTTGACTCCATCTGTTGGGTCTGGTCAGCTCGGGAAGGGACTTCCCACGGGTTATATCATCCGGGGGGTTCTGGGCTGAATCCACATAACACCAGGTGTGCGAGTGAGTTACTTTGTGGATCTCAGCCACGTGGGTACCGACGAAGACCTTGAAGTCGACCAACTTCTCTATCTCCGCCCGGTAGATCTTAACTCGTTCTGGATCTTTCTGGAGCCTTCTCTCCACACTTGTCAAACTCGGAACGACAGTGTTAGGGCTAGCTTTAAGGTGTGGCATGTTCTGGCGGCGAAGGATGGGGGTGGCATAACGTTGGATGCCCTCGACTTCTACACGAACTGTCTTCTGCTCTAGCAGGCTAACTGCATAGTTGTCTTCTCTTGAAAGGGTAACCACCTTGCCTTCTGGCACCGGGACAACATCTACCTGCCATAACTTCTCTACATGTTTGAGTAGCTCACTCACCTGGGGAGGAATGGCGGTCGTGAAGAGGCACTGTTGTGGCAGCGAAGAGGAACCTACAGTGGGGCAAAAAAGTATTTAGTCAGCCACCGATTGTGCAAGTTCCCCCACCTAAAATGATGACAGAGGTCAGTAATTTGCACCAGAGGTACACT